TTTATTGATATTTTATGAGTGAGAAACTGAGGCACAGACTATGAGACTTGCCTAGATCACACAGCTAGTAAGTCTCAGAAGCTGGATTTGAACTTAGATCTTTCCTATTCCAGGTCTAGCCATCTATCCGATGCACCACCTAGTTGCCTCAAGTATGAGATACTTTATCAATAGCTTTGCTAGAATGTGAGTAGACTTTATCTACAGTTCTTCCTTTATCTAGTAGTTTAGTGATCCTGTCAAGAAAAAGGAATGTGGTCAGTCTGGTATGACCTGTTTTTGATGAAGGGGTGCTGCCTCTTTGTAATCATTGCTTCTCTTTTTAGATGTTCACCAGTCATCTCTTCAACTGTCCATTCTAGAATTTTCTTAGGAATTAATGTGAAGTTCACTGACTTGTAAACTCTGCACTCTGGTCTTTTTCCTTCTTTGAAAACAGTGACACCCTTTGCCCTTCTCTGATCTAGTGCTCTTCTTCTGTATGTTCTTTCAAAGATCACTGACAGTAGTTTATTAAACACGTCTGCTGGTTTATTTAGGACCCAAGGTATAGCTTGCCTCCATCCGGTGACTTGAGCCTCTTAAAACAAGCTTGGTACTCTCTTACTGACTCATCACTCATCGTGGGTACCAACTCCCTGTTAGTCATTTTCCATTTTTAAAAATTATGAACCTGACAAATCTGAACATGTCCAAATACAAAGAAGAGTAGAAAAAAGAGGACTGTGCATGTAATCATGTACAGTTTGATTTTTTAGAAAGCAAATGTCAAATTTAACACAGTAGCACACATACTGCTCTGCTTATCTGTGTCTCTTTATTGAAGTAGTATCTGTTCTCTTCTGTGTATTTTAAAATAATTCATTAATGTTCTTTTCTCCTCCTCCTCATTCCTCTTCCTCTTCTTCCTCTTCCTCTTCTTCTTCTTCTTCTTCTTCTTTGGTGAAGGGAGCAAGGAGGCGGGAATTGCTATCATTAGGCACCTACTTTCCCCAATCTCACCCCACAAAATCATAGAATGTGAGAATTTGCTACTTGGTGTGTGGCTAAACTTAGGACCTATGTTCCTAAGAAACAATGAATATGAGGATCAAAGAAAAACATGGGAAGACTTGTATGAATGGATACAGCCTAACACAAGTAGAGCCAAAAACAAACAAACAAAAATACACAATGACAATAACAAAGTACAAAGAATAATCTAATTACCTAAAATTCTATGTAAACATAATGGCCAGCAACATGACAAAACAGGAATATGATAAATATTGGAGAAGATGTGGGAAAATTGGAACACTAATGCATTATTGGTGGAGTTGTGAAATGATCCAACCATTCTGGAGAGCAATTTGGAACTATGTCCAAAGGGCTATAAAAATGTGCATACCCTTTGACCCAGCAATAGCACTTCTAGGGCTGTATCCCAAAGAGATCATACAAATGGGTAAAGGACCCACATGTACAAAAATATTTATAGCAGCTCTTTTTGTGGTGGCAAAGAATTGGAAATTGAGAGAATGCCCATCAATTGGGGAATGGCTGAACAAGTTGAATGTAATGGAATATTATTGTGCTATAAGAAATAATGAACAGACAGACTTCAGCAAAACCTGGAAAGACTTGTATGGTCTGATGCTGAGCGAAGTGAGTAGAACCAGGAGAATGTCGTACACAGTAACAGCCACGTTGTACAATGACTAATATTGATAGACTTAGCCCTTCTCAGCAATGCAAGGATCTAAAACATCTCCAAAGGCCTCATGATGGAAAATGCTATCCACATCCAAAGAAAGAATTATGGAGTTTGAATGCAGATCGAAGCACACTATTTGCTATTTTTTTTCTTCTGTTGTGTTTTGTTTCCTCTTCCTGGTGTTTCCTCCAATTGGTTCCAATTCTACCTTACAACATCACTAATGTGAAAATATATTTAATAGGAATGTACATGTATAGCCTATGTCAGATTGCTCACCATCTTGGGGAGGGAGAGGGGCAGGGAGGGGGAGAAAATTTTAAACTCAGAAGCTTATGGAAGTGATTGTTGATAAATCAAAATAAATTAATAAAAAAAAACATAATGGCCAGGCTTCATCCAAGTGAAGAGTTGAGGCAGTGTACCCCCCCTCACTTCACTGCAGAAGAGATAAAAAAAAATCCCTCTTTGCAGAGGTGGCAGGGTGTGGAATACTGTATATACTATCAGACTTGGTTGGTGTGTTGGCTAGTTTTTCTGAATTACTTTTCTCCCCTTCTTTTAAAAAATCATAACAAGTATAAGAATGGAGTTGAAACACCCAACTCCACTTAGCCCTGCTGTATTTGTCAGTCAAGAACACATCTCAGTTGTTCACTAGGTGTGAACAAGGCCAGGTCTCTCTGGAAGTCTTTTTGGATTGGCTGAAGGTCTTGGTCACGTCCTCTCGGGACTGTGTAAACTAGTTGGAATGAGTGGTGATCCAGGGGAGAGTATTCCAGTCAAATCCCTGAGAAGGAATCACTTTAGAGGCAGGAAGGGAGAGGAGAGTACCTCAGCCTTGGCTTTTCCACAAGGTCATAGGAGGACCTTGTGAGCTTTGATGAGTCTGAAGAATGTGGGGCTTTCCATCTTCCCTTAGGCATCCTAACAGCAGTCACATCTGCCAAGTCAACAGGTAGGGCAGATTTTTGGAATAGTTGATGACAATATCTTCATTGGGAGCCAAGGATAGGCTGAACGTAGATTCAAAGCTCTACAAAGAACCAAGCAGAAAAAAGAGTACCATACCTAAGCGGGAGAGGTTGAGGACTCCAACGACAAAAAAAAGAGTTAGGAGCTCTGAGTAACCCTTTATCATATGTGCTCACTAAATTTAAGCTCACTTTCCTTGTTCTCTGTCTCTATATATATGGAAAAGTGCATCACAGACTTTTGGGGAATGTTTTGTATCACATTTTTTTATGATACCATCTTAGCAAATGCTTCTTTCTAAAAACTAATTAAATCTGACTGACTGATATTAACTGGTAATCATGAAGGCAAGTACATTATCGGGGCCTTGTGATCTATACAATTAGAAAAACACTTAACACTTCAGTGCTAACTCTTGATCTCTGAGGGAATTAATAGCCATGCTCTGGTGATCCAACTGGTCAGTGTAAGTGGGAGTTGGGATGTCTGTCCCAGAGCATAAGCTGAAAGAGGAATGGGTTGCTGAGTAGGGGAGAGGGAGGGAAATTTTTGGAAACTAAGGTGATATAAGAAAGATAAATAAAAATATTGAAGAGGGAAAGAAGAGAAGGTTTAGAGAGGACATGATGGCAACTATATTTAAGTATTTGAAGCCATCTTATGGAAGAGGGATTAGGTGCTCAATTTTTCCCTAGAAGGAAGAACCAGGAGCAACAGCAAACATTTCAAAGAGATAGATTAAGACTTTGTGTTATTATAACTATCTCAAAGTGAAATCGACTATCCCAGAAGGTAGTAAGGCAATCATCACTCAAGGTCTTTAAGAGAAGACGGTTGACCATTCGTTGGGAATGTTGCAAAGGTGATTCCTGCCCAGGTGCAGGTTGAGTTAGATGCCATGTGAGGACCCTTCTGGCTCTTAGATTCTGCAGAAAGTCTGAGAAGGGAAGCAGTGCTGTTAGTAGAAATTAGGAAGTTAGGAGGAAGGGCCAGTTTTAGGGGAAAGGTCAGCTAGGGTTGAGAAACATTGAGTGCAATGGGGATAATTACAGCACTCACCTGACTGAGTTGTTTTGAGGATCAAATGAGATAACATATGGAAAGTGCTTTATAAACCCATATAAATGCTACCTCTTATTATTATTATGTGCAGCTAGGTGGCACAATGGCTAGAGCCTGACGTCAGGAGGACCCGTCAAATCTGGCCTCAGACACTTACTAGTTGTGTGACCCTGGGCAAGTTACTTAAACCTGCTTGCCTCATTTTTGTCATCTCTAAAATGACGTGGAGTAGGAAGAGGCAAACCACTCCAGTGTCTTTACCAAGAAAACCCCATGCACAAAGTCCATGAGGGTCATGTAGAGTTGGACACAACTGAACAATAATTATTATTATACTCAGTCACTTTTTCCAAGAACCAGTCTCCCCCTGGCTTTGTCCCAGTCTTTGCTAGGGAGCCTGTGAGCCTGGGCCTAGCGAAAGGCAGCCTTTACGCAGGAGCAAAATTGACAGCTACCTAGGTGGTATGATGTGAGGGTCCCCTTCCCCAAGGAAATTTTGGATAGAAGCATTGAAGGCCAATGCTAAAATTAGGGGCATGGGAGAAGGAAGGTGAGATGCTGGGAGAAAGGAAGGAGAGATTTGGAACTTATGACTAGCCACCCAAAAAGGAATATTGGGATAGTGCAAAGGTATTGCACTGGTAGGGGTGAGGGGATCCATGCTGTTAGGGGTAAGGGTGGGGGAATGAAAGTGAGATGGAGTGGGGTGTTGAGGACCACTTTCACTTATTGTGCTAAACTTGCCTACCACATACAGAGCCAGGTGGAAATTATACAGCCTTCTGGGTTGATAGTTATTAGATACTTGTTGAGTAAATGAAGGAAGAAATGAATACATGTATATACAAATGAATGAAAAATCCTCTCCTCCAGCCCACAAATTACTCCTCCCATCATCAGCTAGCTTCTCTAGTCCCCCTGGGAGCCATGCTTAGGAGTTTCAGAAACGCAGATTTTGGCTTATTATAAAGGGAAAACTTCTTAACCATTAGCAAAGCCCCCAAATGGAATGGGCAATCCATTAAGGCTTCTTGGACTAATTGGAAGAGAACAGGAAATGCTCTCTCTGCTCTAATCCCTTGAATCCTAAACGACTAGTGAAGGTTTAGTGCTTCCTTCATCAAACCAAGAGGTGCTCTTGGGCCTTTCCTTCACACAGAACTCCACAGTCTCCCTGCTCCCTTAGCCCCCAGCAATGGAAGAAACTTCCTCTTTTCTCTGCATATTTATAAATTCTTTATTCACTGGCTAGCATGACCCAGAAGGTTGGTGCATGGCAGGAAGTCTGCCTCAGATTGGACGGGAAAAATTCATCAAAGGCAGGAGTTGTGACTGTTTAAATTTCTTTGTTCAAGGTGCAGCCCCAAATGGCCTAAGGATGCTGCTGTTGGCTACGATGATGATAATGGTGGTGGTGATGGAGATGAAGGTCCTTCTATCATCATAAGGATATTCCTTCCTCTGGGCTATGGTGGTATGGGAATGTGGGGAGAGGCCCACGTGGCGGCTGGGTTTGATCCTCCCCCCCTGTGTCTTTCTCCAGGTGTTGCATCCAGAGTGGAATGAGGGTTCCTGGTAGTTGTTGGGGGTTGGGAGGCAGTTTAGCACCCCAGAACATCGTGGCCCAGCTTGCTCTACTCCCTGGCCAGACAGCCATTGCAGGGCCCTCGGGCATCACCTCTGGAGAGAGGCCCTCATCAGACATAGCTTAGAGATGACAGGAATCCAGGGCTCTTCCCTTTCTCCCATGAAGTGGGCCAGAGGCTGGCTCAGAATCAGGGATGTATCCATCTGTAGACATTTGTGCTTTATGTGTGTGGGGTAGGAGGGTAGGGGCAGGGAGGGAGGTCAAGATGGGGATAAGGCAGAACCAGCATTGATTCCTTCGGGTGGGGAGGGTCCTTGATGCTGCCTCAGTAGCAGCCCGTGCAGGCCACATTTACACAGATTTCACAGTCGTCTTCGGCAATGCTTCCTGGAGAGAGAATACAAAGTTGAAGGTCAAGGAGACTGAAGTCTGACTGGACGTGGGCAGGGAAAGCTGGCTGAGATAACCTTTTACTAAACGGAGCAAAGAGATTGAGATGAAATGAAGCCTAGGAGAGTGAGGAGAAGGGAAGAAATGAAGGTCAGAGTAATAGATTGAGCCAAAAGAAGTCTTAAAAGCTATTATTTTATAGAAGAGGAAGCTAAGATGGTATAAGTTAAGTGACTTGCTTAAGGTCACATTGCTAGTAAGTTGCAGGTGTGAGATTTGAACTCAGGTCTTCCTCAGTTCCAAGCCCAACGTTCTATCTATCACATGATGCTCCCTCAAGGCAGGAGGAGGAGTAAGCTGAAGAAGGTGAGGGGCTTGAGTGGGGGAATGTGGAGGGAGGAGATAAAGAGGAGTGAGGTATGGAGGCATGAGCTGTGGAGAGGTGAGATGAGGACCTAGAAGATAAGGAAAGATGGAGAGAAGTGAGGAAGAATGAAGAGGTGAGAGGCTAGGAGGGGCATAATAGTAAGTTAGGGGGGAATGAGAGGAGGCAATTGAAAAGAGGAGATGTAGGGAGAGCTAAGCAGTGAGCTGAGGACAGCAGAAGAGTAGGGTAAGGAGAGGCACAGGACACCGGGAGATCATACAGATGGGGAAACTGAGGCTAAAGAGGTGCTGTGACTTGCCCAAGGCCACACAAGTGGAAGAGACAGTATTTGAGCACTCCAGCTCCATGATGCTTTGTGATTATGCAGAGGGGTAAAGGAGATGAGGAGACATAAAGGGGGTGAAGAAGGGCTCATCTGTGGGGCTCAGCCACCCCAGGGGAAGCATCTTTGGTGTCCGTGGGGTGGGGAGGGCACGTACTCAGGGCTCTGAAGGTGTCGGCAGCATGGGGAGTCTTACAGACAGGCTGGAGGTCCTCGGGCAGTTGAGGGCTGCTACACAGGGAGAGTGAATCTTCCTTTCTCACGTGGGGACTCAAATCATTAGACTTTTCCAGGATTCCATCCAGCTTCTTCACAGACTCCAGATTCACCCGGAGGCCCTCATACTGAGGACAGAGAAAGAAAGGGTCAGAACTTCTCCGGCTTCCAGCCCTCTGCCCAATAGGGTGCTCTGGGGATCGGATTGAGGAGCAGGGAATGGGGGAGTTGGAAATGCTGGGCACTGTAGATGTTCTTAGCCAAGGGACACATTCCCAGCATGCTATTAGAAGGAAGAACCCAGGACGCCCGGAACCCTGGGCCGCCTCAGGGCAGTGACAGGACAAGATCAGGCCAGCTGATTCAGGAATGGGGAGACGTGTGGCGTTCTGAGTTAGGGCACTGAGTTTGGATTCAGGAAGAGCTGGGCTCAAATACCGTGTACTAGCCATGTAACTCTGGGAAAGTCACGCAGCATCTCTTAGTCTCAGTTTCCTCATGTGTCAAATGAGAGAGATTACACCCAGCCTCTTTGGTCCCTTCCAGCCCTAAATCTAAGATCCTATGGCTCATGCCCCCCTTACCCAGGGACTTTCCCTTTAGGGGGTAAAGGATTCCTATTCTTGAATGAGGAACCTAGCCCCTCTCCCACTCAGGATCTAGGGAAGGAAGGATCTTCTTGGGAAATCACTCCCCCCCCCTTCCCACTGTCATTGCCTCCAAACCCATCCCTCCCCCACATTGGCCAGCCCCTGACCTGTAAAATAATAAGGGCATCAAAGTTTGCCAAACACTTTAAATGTTATCTCACAACAAATCTGGGAGATAGGTGTGATTATTACTCCCACTCTATAGATGAAGAAACTGGGACTGAGACAAAGTGACTCTCAGCATCACAGAGTCTGAGTCAGGATTTGAACTCAGGACCTCCTGACTCCAAGTCAGGCACCACCATGCCACCTAACTGCCTCTGAGAAGAATCAGGGATGAGGCTGAAGGTGAATGTGTGAGGACATGGGAGTGGGGCAGTCTATTGGCATGAGTGTCCTAAGCAGCAAAGCCTTGGCATCACTGGACCTTGGCAGAAGGACATTTAGTGTGGCTAGACCCAGGCTATGCTGGCCCCTCCCCTCTGGCTCCTCCCTTCTTCTTTATCAGAGAAGGAAAAAGGAGACAAGAGTCCAGACCTGTCCAGGGAATGGGCTTATAGCAGAAGGCCAAGTGTGCTGAAGGTCCCCACGCCTCCAGGAGGCTCAACTCAGGCAAAGAGACAGGCTATGCTGCAGCCCAGGTGAGCTCTGGCCTTCCCCAGGGCATAGGTAAAGGGGAGTCTGACTTCATCCTCATGTCTCCATGGTTCTCTTCTTACTCCCTTTCCATCCTCTACGCTGCTGTCCAGGATCCTTCCTTTCCATAGAAAACTTGTTTCCCCTCCCCTCTCCTCTCCTCTCCCCTCCTCTCAGTAGGGATGGTACATTATGATTGTCTCTCCTCCCACTCCTGCAGAGCCTGAGGATGGGGGCAGGGCTGGAGCCAGGCCCCTAAAGGTCTCACCTCGATCAAGACTGACTGGGTGTTCTGTGCCAGTATCAAGAGCATGGCAGCAGCAGCCACGGGGAGTGCCAGAACCTTCATGGTATCTTCCAGTCTACTTTCCCCTGGTTTTCCTCCTTTCTCTCACCTCCCAGGCTTCCACCCTGACCTCTCTACAGTGCCTTTTAAACCTTGGTGATGGCTTCTCGGTCACTTATTAACCCTTCTGTCAGAGAGGAAAGGAAGTGTCCTTCTGGGGGTGGTGCCAGGGGATAGGAGGCAGGGTTCATCCAAGCTGGCTCTGAGCCAGACACAGACTTGGGTTTCTAAGGGGGAGCAGGGTGAAGATAAGGATTGGTTTCAGTGCCTTTACTTTTTACCTTGCTTCCTGTAATACTGTGCCCAACCTTAATGTGCCTTGTCTCCACTGGGTCTATGGATGCCTTATCTTGGCATTTCTCACCTAGTGATTGTATTTTATAAACCAAAAATGAAGATGTGTAGTCACTTTCAGAGTTCTCCCAAACTTGCTCTTTCTTTTTATATTAATCTCATTAAAATGTTCTTATTAATGTATTTTGACTTATCAACAATCACTTCCATAAGCTTTCGAGTTTTAAATTTTTCTCCCCCTCCCTCCCTACCTCCTTCCCTAAGACAGTGCACAATCTGATATATTCTATACATATACATTCCTGTTAAACATATTTTCACATTAGTCATGTTGTAAGGAAGAATTAGGACCAATAGGAGGAACCACCAGAAAGAGGAAACAAAACACAACAGAAGGAAAAAAATAGGAAATAGTGTGCTTCGATCTGCTTTCAAACTCCATGGTTCTTTCTTTGGATGTGAATAGCATTTTCCATCATGAGGCCTTTGGAGATGTCTTAGATCCTTGCATTGCTGAGAAGGGCTAAGTCTATCAACGTTAGTCATTGCACAATGTAGCTGTTACTGTGCACAGTGTTCTGGTTCTGCTCACTTCACTCAGCATCAGACCATAAAAGTCTTTCCAGGTTTTTATGGAGTCTGCCTGTTCATCATTTCTTATAGCACAATAGTATTTCATTACATTCATATACCACAACTTGTTCAGTCATTCCCCAATTGATGGGCATCCTCTCAATTTCTAATTCTTTGCCACCACAAAAAGAGCTGCTACAAATATTTTTGGACGTGTGGGTCCTTTTCCCATTTGTATGATCTCTTTGGGATACAGCCCAAATTTAAAATTTTTTTACATTAAAATTTATTATTTTTAACTTTATTTTCTTTTTAAATTTTAAGTTTCAAATTCTCTCTCTCCCTCCCACCACGTCTCTCATGTTATACATGTGAAATCATAACATATTTACACATTAGCCATATTGCAAAAAAAAAAAAAAAAGAATTAGAAAACTATACTTCAATTTGTAGTCACAGTTCACCAGTTCTCTCTCTGGCAGTAGATAGCCCAAACTTGTTCTTTATAAACTCATTTTTATTTCTAGTCTCCAGTCCATTAATTCTACCCAGTCTTGATTTTACAGTTAACCATTTTAATGATTTAATAACCTCCATGCTTGCCCCCTTGATATTCTACAATTATCACCATCCTAATACCTTAGCTTGGGTTACCCTCCACCACCTACCTTCTCTGGTCCTATTCCTGGATGACCAAATATTTCTAGAAGAAATACAAAACCTTGTTGATTATGGTAGTTGACTTCAACTGGACCATTTCTATTACATGGCTATCCTTTTATTCATGTCTTATTGACCCATAATCCCAATAGGGTATTTTCTGAAACTTCTCTTTTTTTCTTGTCTCCAGACCTATATAGCCCTCTTACTTTCAGGAAATTACTTCAAGATTGAGGCCATCTATCCTAAGCTCTTTAAAATCCATTCCCCCACTCCCCTAAATGTCTTAATGTCTTCATTCTCTCTTTTTAGTCTCAAAACAATGTGGCTGCCCTTATACTTATCTAGGCTAATCCCTCCAATTTGGCCCTTGATTTTTCCCTTTCTGTCTCTGCTAGACTATGTTTCCTGAAAAGGAAATGAGGTTAATCTGTGCTATTTTTTTCTTGACGAACCCATGCTGGCTTGTAGTGATTGCCCATCACTATCCTTTTAATGATGCAGTCTAGAATTTGGCCTTAACTTAATAGAATTAAGTTCCTTTACCTTTTTTGAAAATTGGCACAAAATTTGCCTATTCCCAGAGTTGATGGGGAGATGTGCCTAGATGGCACAGGTAAGTGAATTTAGAACTGGACAAATGACCAGACCCAAAGAGTAGTCAGTGGTGGAGGGATCCTTGATTGTAGCCCTGGTTCTGTGTTGGCTGTATGGTGTAGCAGGTGGAATGGTAATGGAACTGAGTCAGGAACCTACATTCAAATTAGGCCTCTTCATTCTTGTAAGCTGTAGTACAATGAGAAAGCCACTCTACTCCTCTAAACCTTGGTTTTTTATGTGTAAAATGGGGACAATACCATAGTGCCTATCTCATAGGCTTACTGTGAGGATCAAAGGAGAGAATCAATGGAAAATACTTCACAATCTTGTAAATCCTATATAAACATTGAGTTTTTTTTTAATTGGTGACTAGGATAAAGACAGAGAAGATACATTTAGCAAATTTGTTGATGACTCAGATATTTACATGGATCTGTGATCCATGTAATCACTGTGGATATTCCTTCCATTGATAAGAATGGCCATCTTGTGGGACACCAGTGCACCACATGGGTTGGCCACTGGTAATCCCTTGTTCTCCTCATGGGATTAGCCTGTCTTCTTGCTAACCTCAGCTACTTCTCTGATGATATCCTGTCCTCCAGTTCTTCCTTATAGTCCTTATTTGTTATATGCTTCAGCCTGTTCCCACCCACCATGTACCTTCCCATGTTCCATGACTCATAGTCATACCACCACACTGGTAGCTATTTATAGATGAGTCATTTCTGTTGTGTCCAACTCTGCATGACCCCATTTGGATTTGCCCGGCAGAGATACTGGAGTGGTTTGCCATTTCCTTCTCTAGCCCATTTTACAGATGAGGAACTGAAGTAAATTGAGTTAAGTGACTTGCTCAGAGTCATATAGCTAGTGTCTAAGGCTAGATTTTAACTCAGGAAGATGAGTTTTCCTGACACCAGGTCTAGCGCTCTATCCACTGTGCCACCCAACTGCCCCTATTGATATTAAAAAGACAGACTTTTTTTTCCCGCTAGGAGATGTTTGGGGTTATTAAAAGAGTTTTGTGATTTCTGATTTCTAAGTAGTTCAACAATGCTCTAACAGATTAATTAACTAATGGAATAATGTCCCTGAATCCCTTTGGGTGTGGCTTTGGGTGATGGAGGCAAGTTAGTGTAGTACATAGGGAACTGAATTGGAAACCAGAAGGGACTTGGGTTTAAATCCCACCCCAAACACTTACTAGCTGTGTGACCCTTGGGCAAGTCACTTAACTTCTCTGTGACTTCGTTCCCTCATATGTAAAATGAGGGAGTTGGACTCCGGAGTTTGGACCTCTAAGGTCCCTTCCAGCTCTAAATCCATGGTTGTATGAGCTGTAACTCTAAGTTATGGAAGTACAGGAGATGAACGAAGTTAGAGGCTAAGGAATGAAAACGAGACCAATGTGAATATTGATATCTTCAAAAGATAGCAGGGTTAGGGTAGAGAATAAAACCAGGAGCTGAGTATGAAAATCCTTGAAAAATGAGGGAGGATGACTTGGAAGCCACAATAAAGGATGATGACAAAGATTTGGAGAGAGTGATCTAGATGGGTGGAATGAATCTCAGAGGAGGAGAGGTCCCTGAGCGATGGAGGCAGAAATGGCAGAGGGGAGCAAGAGGGATTCAGGCGTCTTCCCCTACCCTTGTCATTAAGTTCCATTTGCACTCACGTTGGTCTTTTCAGACAGCTCTCTTTGTCTTCCCTGTCAGAATCATCAAGGTTTGTGGTATCAGAATTCCATTCTGGAGAACTTCTCATGCCTCCTGGCCTGACCTCCAAGTCAGAGAGTCAAGCAGATTGAGCTGGTTAGAGAGCAGCTGCTGGCAAGAGCCCTAACGAGGGAGCCAGTCTTCCATTTTGAGGCTGGTGTAGGCAAGCAGAAGCCGTACCTCTGGGCTGGTGTTCTTGCATGAGCTCTTCTGCTGCAGCTGTGGAGATGATTATGTTAGAAGGAAGGATCACGGGATCATAGACTTAAAACTATCGAAATCAGCCACTTCATCATATAGATGAAGAAACTGAGGCACAGAGAGTTTCAGGGAACTGCCTGGGGGTGGGGGGAGGTCACAGAGCTAGTAAGTGTTGGAAGCAGAACTGGAATCTAGGTCTTCCTACTTGTTCATCCACCAAAGCGTCATGGCCAGGCCCCTTCTGGTCCTCTAGGGTCACATGACACTCAGTTGTGACCAGTATTCTCTATAGCCTCTTCTAATAAATCCTTCTGTCTGTCCTTTCCATGAAAGTCTACCCCAACATTTCCTGCCATTTCATTGCCCTTTCAGGGCTCTGCCAAGTGGGATATACTTTGCCATATTTCACCAGCAGCTGTGCAGGCAAAATTCTACCCAACCTCCAACGCGCCTAGATCTTGACTCTCCCAGATCCTCTCTGGCTGTAGAGCATGTCTTTTGTCAGGCTCAATCTTCCTAGGTAATGGCTGGTAAGTGAGAGCCACTTCCCACCTCCTTTTTTGTTTTCAGTGGGAGAGTGAGTTGAGCATAATGAGTAGGCATAGATGGGTTTCTATTTTCTTTGCAGATCTCATTATGCTTCCTTTCCTGCCAAATCCTCCCCCTCCGTGACCTTCCATATTTTTGTCAAGAGTGCCACTGTCCTTCATTCCTCAGGTTCACAACCTCAGTGCCATTCTCTACTCCTTACTTCCCCTCACTCTACATATCTTCCCTCTAATCACCAGCTATCTCTCTTATTCAGGTCCCCATTTCCTCTCACCTGAACTATCACAATAGGTTCCTAACTGGTCTCTCTGCCTCCTCTCTCCCTCTGACCCATTTTTCACTCAGGTGCCAAATTCAATTCTATCTTTGTCTTGATGATATATTATTGGTCATCAAGGTGTAAGGTTACTTACTTAACACTTAACTTCTCACACTTCAGTTACCTTAATCTGTAAAATGAGGATAATAATAGTACCTACCTCACAAGTTGTTGTGAAGGTCAA